TTTCAACAATGTACTGTACAAAAAAACATACATTACATTTGTGTTTTGGATTGAAATATTAAAAAGGATTAGAATTAAAAAGTTGATTGAGAACAAATCTAAATGAAATTTACTGAAATCTTACAAGATCGTCAAAAACTAATGAAATTATGATTGACTAGAACATTTATAACTCAATTGGTGTCATCCCGTCTTAAAAAGAAAACCCATTTAACAATGCTTTAAATAATCCTTTAAATAATGCTTGAAATCATATGTTCAATAATGATAATAATGATTTAAATAATACGTCAATAATGCTTACATTAGAATAATACGTCAATAATCCTTACATTAAAATAATACGTCAATAATGCTTACATTAAAATAATACGTCAATAATCCTTACATTAAAATAATACGTCAATAATCCTTACTTTAAAATAATACGTCAATAATCCTTACTTAAAATAATACTATGTTCAATAATGCTTTAAATAATATGTTCAATAATATTTTAAATAATACTATTTTTAAATAATATGTTAAATAATATTTTAAATAATACTTTAATATTTAATACTTAATATTTTTAAGTAATACTTTTAAATAATACTTTTAAATAAATATTTTAAATAATATTTTTGTATATCAAAATTTTATTAACAAAACACGAAAAATGTAAATAAAAAAAACCAATAAAAATACTAAAAAAAGGTGACAAAACGCGTTTTTATTAATAATTATAGGAAATATATTATAAATATCTTTAATGTCAATGTCAAACTGGTAAAAGAACAATACGATTACATTCATTTTGTTCCTGAGTCAATTAATAATCTATTTATGGGTAATTACTTTATAACCATTTTTAAGCCCAATAAAATACTATTATAAAATTAGATTTAATCTTCAGATCTAATTATCTAATTATTGTTAGTATAAATAAGAAAGACCAAAGCTTAGAATTCCGAATTTTTGGTTTCAGTCTGTTTAGCCCAATATTTAGCCTATCGGGATGACGTACATGACATAATTTTTATATTATTCTTTATATAAATATAAGTATAATTACCGATTACCAATTACCAATTAATATTCACCAATTACCAATTATCAAACTAAATACCTGTTAACCAAGTCGCGTTCGATTTGTGCTTATATTATTAAGAACAAAAAAAAATGCATTAACTTTATTAGCTTTGAATGATTGTTTTAGTTAATTTTTCACGTGATTCATTTCAAGACTAACGTTATCGGTCATGATTGAAAAATTATTGATTTCTGCTCTTGCCTAAATGAAAAAAATAAACATCACCTCCATTTTCCTTTTCGGTAATGTAAACATTTATTTGCATTAACCCGATATTTATTTGCTGCAAATTTTTGATCTTGTGTTTGTGTCAAATTCCTTTTATAAATTTAGTGAAATACTTTCTAATTACGTGAATGAAATTGTATATCTGATATAGTATTATTGATGAGATTCTTTGAAATTCTTTAGCACATATTGAGTATGTATCGTATATCTGATGTAATATTTATGAAATTCTTTATTGTAGTATATCTGATTTTAGCGTATATTGTACATAGTATACATGTGGGCGTAATTATTTCGGATAATACGGCATTAAGGCGGCGTAATGGTGAAATATATTACACATTTACACCAAATTTTTGTTCAAAGATTCATATGAAAATAGCATTACACCGGTATTACACCTGTGTAATGCCGAATTGGTGTAATGTGCCGTTCTTTAGCATATACTATATGATATGGTATTGATGAAATTCTTTAGTGTATATCTTATATAGTATTATATAGTATTGATGAATAATTTCAAATTATTTGATTCGAATTTTAGGCGTTTTTATGGTTAGCAAATATAATTAAAAGTAATTAAAAGATACAAGGTGGGTTAGACTGATTTTTATCGCGTCCTGCATCTTGCAATCAATCTTACATGGTTTGTTATTGATCTTGCAGTCAATTTTGCATAAAGTTTATTAATTCATGAGTAATTTATTAATATCATTGAGTATATATAATATACAGTACATATATATATGTGATATATATGTATATATATGTATATATAATGGTATGCGCATAATTCTATATTCTATATTTTAATATATTCTATAGATTTCTCCCATTTTATAGTTTGAGGTTTCGATTCGGCTCACTTGGTCAACTTTTTTGTGTTTACTCTCTTAATTGACATAAGTTAGTACAAATCTTAATATTGAGATTTTATATCACATATTGGAATAATTCATTAAAGAGATATTGTATATTAGATATCTGTCAAAATATGTATTAGTTTATTTACTGATCTAGTAGTATATAAATGGGTTATCATCCGAAGGAATGATGTCCCATTTATATACTAAACTAGATCCTAGATATACTAATTGGTCCGCCAGTTTATAACTGACCTAAATACCAATTAGTAGCCAGGTGATAATAAATAAAAAGAATCTTTTTTAAAGCTACCATCTATAATTTAATAAAGCAAAAAAATTTTATTTTCTTCCATTTTTTTTATTTATTATGTCTTTTAACTCTTAGTAAAGTTTTTTATCCTGACAAGATTTTCTGATGAAAATTGAATTTGTAATTACAAGTATTTCAGTACAGTTTATAATGAATTAATTAAATTTGTCATAATAAAAACTTTTTACTTTATAATTATTTCTCAAACTACAATATATGGCAATAAAAATTGATAATATTTATTACACAGATCCATTTTTAAATCACATTTGGGAGAGAAGTTTTCAATCAACTTATTACTAAGGATACAAGATATGACGCAAAAATTGATAATACTTATTATTTTCTAACTACATTGGGAGAAACTATGGATACAAGATATGAACAATACTTATTACACGGATCCATTTTTATACTACATTGGAAGAGAAGTTTTCAAACAACTATTACAATGGAATAATGGAGTATGGATACAAGATATGAACAATACTTATTACACGGATCCATTTTTATACTACATTGGGAGAGAAGTTTTCAAACAACTATTACTATGGAGTAATGGAGTATGGATACAAGATATGAACAATACTTATTACACGGATCTATTTTTAAATTACATTGGGAGAGAAGTTTTCAAACAACTATTACTATGGAGTAATGGAGTATTGGATACAAGATATGAACAATACTTATTACACGGATCCATTTTTATACTACATTGGGAGAGAAGTTTTCAAACAACTATTATTATGTAGTATGGATACAAGATATGAACAATACTTATTACACGGATCCATTTTTATACTACATTGGGAAAGAAGTTTTCAAACTAGAATACAAGATATGACGCAAAAATTGATAATACTTATTACACGGATCCATTTTAAACCACATTGAGAAAGAAGTTTTTTAAACAACTATTACCAAGGATATAAGATAACAACTCTATTGACACAAAAAATCGCTAACACAGGATCCCCGGACAATTATATCAGATCTGGTATGTATAAAATGGGAGTAAATTGTAAAAATTTGAAAGATGGTAGGTAAAAATTAAAAACCGGGGGGTTTTTTTTTTGAAAAAAAATGAAAAATGGGTAGTAAAATAAAATAGAAGTAGATGTATGATATATTATAAATTAGGTAAATTATCTAGGATTTGTATAGAGTATATACGGTAAATAAAAATAATTTGAGATACGAAATTCAAGTATAAAAGTAATACAAAACCTGAAAATTTTCGGGGGTAAAAATTTCTAAATCTCATCATTTCTTTCCTCCTACATTTTATATATTATCCAGGGTCTGTTAACACCAAGATCCATCTTAAATCACTTTTGAAAGGAAATTTTTAAAGGAAATTAAAGGAAACTAAACAAACAAAAGCTTCTGATTTCAAATCAAAAGTTTCTGGTTTCTATTATAATTGTCATATCAAGTATTTTTACCAATTGATTATGCTTGTAATCTCATTAATACCCCTTCCACATTTCATATATTCAATATATTCACCTAAACTATATTATACTCCAATGTAATAAATTATAAGTACTTGGGTTAAAAAAGCTAATTCCATTATCATCATTTTTCTCAAAAGATACACTGAGTAGATGTGATAACATTATGTATTATAATTGTTATACATTTCTTAGTAAATTATTTAGCCTAGCTATGAATTGTTGAGTAATAATGACTAATATAGGAAATATAATAGTGTGATTGTACTTATAACTAATAAAGTGAGTATAGTAAAAATAAATATAACTATATAATATAATAAATACAATGTAAGGTCGAAATATGTTATAGAAGAAAAATCTTTAAATCATCATTATCATCCCATTCATTAGCTTAAGATATTTAAGATTTGGAATTTCACATTATTTGTAGAATTCTAATATACTTATTTTCGGTAAACGGATAAAAACAGTACTTTATAATATCTTATGTTTCAAGTAAATTTCCTGAAAATATTTTTGAACATGACATGTAAGCAAAGATGTGAAAATGAAATTAACGGATGAAATTGAAAGAGTGGAAGATGTAGGATTATAATTATCTTAATTTCATTAATTTCAATAAGAAATTCGATTGTATTTTTAATTAAACTTGTTAAAGCTTCAATTGGAATACTACTAAGGGAAGCCTTCGTAGAGTCAAATATCGGAATCAGAAGTTAATCCACGGACAAGAGTCTCAAGCTTGTCAAAGAAATCATCAGAGGTAATAGGAGAAATATAAGTCCAATACTCTCTCTAAAAGGGATTTTTTCTTTATGCGTCACTGTAGAACTGTGTTCCTTTTTTTTTTTGTAAGAACATATAAATAATGCTGAAGAATATGAAAGAATTTGCCCAATCAAAGCAAATAATGCTTTGCAATTATAATTTCTTTCGTTATTTCTTCAAAAAAAAAGTAAATGTAAATATCGAGATGAAAATCTATCTACAGTATATGTATGCATTAATTCCTAATTGCGCCATACTTTATAAACAGATGATCAGTCCTATGATCAACCCCCACGTTTTTTAAAAATTTCGAGCTCTAGGGTTTTCCCTGTTATATCACGAAACAACCTTTAAAGAGACGTTACTTGTTTTTTGCTACCTTTTTTTGTCGTCTTCAAGTTTTGATAAAGTTATTAACATGAGCTTCGGGACACTCCAGGTAAGTCTGTGTGTATTTACATTTATTAAAATTTATAAATTGGATCATTTCTCAAATAACCTCTTTCTTGCTTTCTTTATTAGTTACCTTCCGTAATTCCTAAGCCTACAATTCAAGCTATCATAGGTATTGATATCTGAAGCTATTTTGATTATTTTTAGCTAAATTAGCTTATGGTTTTTTAATAAATAGGCTTTTTTTTATAATTTAATTTAACTAAACAGTCTTATTATATACATATTTTTTTCTTTTTTTTTAATATATAGAGAGGGCATGTAATCCTCAATTGGGTGAACCAGATCTAGCATTGGATTTGGAAATTGCAGATTTGATCAATCAAAAAAAGCAAAATTAGTACGTAGTGAAACTTTTAATCAAATAAATTTATATATATGTTTTTTTTTTAATTATTTTCATCTTGATTAGTCCACGAGAAGCTGCTATGCATATTGTGAGACTAATAAATAATAGAAATCCAAATGTTGCATCGTTAGCTTTGACGGTAAGTAAAACATGATAATGATCTTTTTTATTACAATATGTAATCATGATTTTTTCTTTCGATTCGTTAATTATGTAGTTATTGGATATTTGTGTAAAAAATTGTGGGCATGCTTTTCATTTACATATTGCGACAAAAGAATTTCTTAATGAAATTGTTCGAAAATTCCCTGAAAGACCACCGGTAAGTTAATTAATATTAAAATTAAAAATTTACATCAAAGTAAATTAATTATTTTTAATTATATAGGCCTTACTGAATCCAATACAGTTGAGAATTTTGGAGTTCATACAGGAATGGAGATCAACTATATGTGTTAATTCACGTCATAAGGATGATCTTGTTCATATTAATGACATGTATAGATTGCTAAGTTATAAAGGTTTGTTATAATATTGGTTAGGGTTGATTATCAATAATTAGAGTATTCGTTCGTCATTTTTCTTACTATTTTGATGAGTGTAGGTTATATATTTCCGGAAATAGATACTCAATCTGCAGCGGTCCTCAATCCAACAGAGGTTCGTAATCTTTAAAATTATATACATAGTAAATATATATAATAAATATATTCTAATGATTAATTTATAATTATAATCTTTTAATCAGACTTTGAAGTCTCCAGACGAACTTGAACAAGAGGATCGTGCTGCGCAAGCAGCGGTAAAGTCGAAGTATTTTTATTTCTTCTTTGTTTTATTCCAATCGTTATAATCGCTTTATAAAGTATATCAGATGAATTTAAATATTATTTATTTATTTATAATTTCCTGAATAATTTACATAAATTAGAAGTTACAAGAGTTAATTAGAAGAGCTACTCCAGCAGATTTAGAAGAAGCTAATGAACTTATGAAGGTTATGGCTGGATATGTAAGAATACTAATACTTTAAGACGGTTTTTAATAATTAATACAAATACTGAGTGAGAATTTTCCTTAGGACCCTGAAGCTAAACCTGATTATAAGAAACAAACTAATGAAGAATTGGAGAAAATTCAGAGAAAGACTATACTTTTAAATGATATGCTTAATAATGTTAAAGTTGGTGAAAGGATAGGTGTTAGTGATATATTTGAGGTGAGTTATGAGCAACTTGTTATCTTTTTTTTTTTAAGTTGAATATTTTTCTTAATATTTTTGTTTTATTTTAATATTAGGAATTATCTCAGGCCTGTAAAGTTGTGCAACCTAAAATTCAGAAATTTATTGAAGAGGAAGTTGATAGTGAGAGCATTGGTATATATATTGTGTATATTTTTGAAATAAGTTGGATGGTCGAATGTATTAAATTTTAATTCAATGCAATATAGATCGTCTATTAAACTTGAATGATCTGATTAATACGGTATTGAAAAGATTTGAAGATACAAAGAATGGAATATTCGAGCCGCCTGAAGAAAAGCCTCAGCCGCCACCGCAATCATCATCAACCACGTAATAATTTATTTTATTTACTTATAAATAATGAATATTCATTTTATTTATTAAATTTTGAATTAAATTTTGAGCAGAAATGAATCCACTTCGGAATCCTTGTTAATTGATTTCGGAAATCCCGACCCACCACAAGGTCAAATTCAAATTACTGATGATTTGCTAGAGTTAAATGGAAGTTCTAATAACAAACCTTCTTCTGAAAAAGGTATTATACATATATATATATATACTATTTTAAAAAAATAATAATAATAAATTTATTTTTAACTCTGTTAGGAACAGGAAATGCTATCGATGATTTACTTGGATTATCTTTTAATTGAAAGGTACCAAATTTTTTTTGAAAAATATTACCTTTTATAAACCTAAAAATTTTTGTTAATTTTAAATAATTGCATTTTTTTTTATAGTTTTTCTTTATTAATTCAACTATTTAATATAGATTATGTATTTTTTCACCTATTTTCACCTATAGTGCATTTATATCATAATTATTATAAAAATTAATAAATTAATGTATTTAATGCTTTTAAAATTTGAAAATCTTTTCGGAATATCAAATTTTGATTGATTTCAAAAAATTTGATTAATTTTGATTTCAATTAAGGTTAAGATCAAAATCTTCATCTAAATTTCTTAAATAAAGGGCTAAAAATTTCGGCATCAGATTATCAAATTTAGTAATGTGGGACAATAAATTATTAATCTGTGAAACTATTTTGCCTTCGTTGCAGATTTGCAGATTGAATTTGCCGGACATTTAATGACCGGAATTACTATTGGTAAATACTAATTAGGATATATCATGGTTGTTGGATCAGTAAGATTAATTGTTTAATCTATGATAGACTTTTAACTAGAACGTTTTTCCTTTCCGATTTTTCTAACAAAAAGAGGAATTAGAGGAATTACTTTAACGGTGTAAGGAGGAAAAACTTTGGTCAAGATGCCACAAACAACACTCTTCCGTTCGGAAGAGATGTCTCTCATCCAACTATACATACCATCGGAAATAGCTCAACCAACTGTGGCGGAATTGGGAGAATTGGGCTTGATTCAGTTTCGAGATGTAAAGATCTTATTTTTATTTATAGATAATATAAAGTTATTTTTATTTATTATAAACAATATTTTGTAAATAAATTCTATAAAATTGTAAATTATTAAAGTTATTTAATTATTATAATATATTTTATAGTTAAATCCGGATGTAAATGCATTTCAACGTGCATTTGTTGGTGAAATAAGACGATATGATGAAATGGAAAGACACCTTCGTAAGTATTTATTTTAAGTTATTTTATAGTATTTTTATATATCCTTTTTTTTTCTTGTTTTTTGATTATAAAAGTATTAAAACCGGGAGAAATATATATCAAACTTGGGTTTTACTATATTTGGAAATTAAGCTTTACTTTTACCAAAATATACTTATGTTATATATACGTACAGTATACATAGTTACTACATAGTTTATCTAATTCGAAAATTTTTTTTTTAAAGGTTTTTTTGAAACTCAAATTACAAAGTCCGATATTCCAGTTCGTCCATTAACTGGAATAAATGCACGTGTAAGGAATGCACAGGAAGTTGATGATCTCGAAGATAAAATTCGAGAACATGAAAGGCGCATATCACAAATGAATAGTTCATATGAAACTTTACAAAAAAGATATTTAGAATTAACTGAAGCTAGACATGTTCTTAAAGAAACAGCAGTATATTTCGAAGAGGTTAGATCATTAAGGTATTCTATTTGTAATTTAGGATCATTATTCAACAATTTTCCTTATTAGGCAGTATCTCGTCAAGATAATATTCGTCACTCTTTTGATGAACCTAGCGCCCCCTTACTAGACCAAGACGTCGAACAAGGTGGTGGAGGAGGAAATGTTGGTGGTGGCGAAAGCCAACCAATGACTCTTGGGTATTGTAACAATTTAGAATATAATGTATTTACTTCATTTATTGGTGTTTGAAATTTCTTGTTAACATAAATATTTATATTTTTTTGAATTAGTTTCGTTACTGGCGTAATAACCAGATCAAAGATGCAAACTTTTGAACGAATCCTTTGGCGAGCCTTACGTGGTAATCTCTACCTAAATTACGCCGAAATCGACGAACCTATTACGGACCCCGAAACTGACGAAGTACTTGAGAAGAATGTGTTTATTATATTTGCTCATGGTAAAGAAATTCTAAATAAAATTAGAAAAATATCTGAATCATTGGGTGCAACACTATATCCTGTAGATGATAGTTCAGATAAAAGACAGGAGCACTATCGTGAAGTTAATGCACGAATTGATGATTTAAATTCTGTGCTACAAAATACTAATAATGCTAGAAGAGCTGAATTATTGAGTATTGCTGATGACCTTACATCTTGGATTACTCTTATTAAAAAAGAAAAAGCTATTTATCATACGATGAATCTTTTCAATTATGATGCGAATCGTAAATGTTTGATTGCAGAGGGTTGGTGCCCTACAAATGATATTAATCCAATCCAACAAGCACTTAGGACTGCTACGGTATTTTAAATATTGTTCTTTTTTTCCTTCTTGTTAATATATCTGCTATATATTGAGGAGTAATGGTAATTTTTTATTCTGATGTTCATTACAGGAAGAATCAGGGTCCACAGTTCCAACTATTTTACACGAATTACGTACTTCAAAAGAACCCCCGACTTATCATCGTGTTAATAAATTTACTTCCGGTTTCCAAGAAATTGTTGATGCATATGGTGTAGCTAGATATCGTGAAGTTAATCCTGGATTATTTACAATTATTACTTTCCCATTCCTCTTTGCTGTTATGTTTGGCGATTTTGGACATGGTATCATGGTTACATTATTCGCTTTATATCTTGTAATTTTTGAGAAAAAGCTTGCCAACGGAAAGTCAAAGGGAGAAGTATATATCTATAATCACATTACATTATTTATTATTATTATTTCTCTTTAATTTGTTAATTTTCTCTTTTTAGATATTTGAAATGTTTTTTGGCGGTCGATACATTATTCTTTTGATGGGTTTATTCTCAATTTATACTGGATTGATTTATAATGACATCTTTTCTCGGGCCATGCATTTGGCACCATCTGGCTGGCAATTGGTCGAAGATCCTAGTAAACCGGATAAATTAATTGGCCAACAAACTGGTGTTTACGCAATTGGTGTCGACCCGGTTAGCATTATTTTTTTGGGTTATTTTATTGTGTTGACCACATTTTCTTAATCTATCTTAATTATAGGCATGGCATGGTGCTGAAAACTTTTTATTATTCACCAATTCTTACAAAATGAAAATGTCGATAATTCTCGGTGTTATTCAGGTATGTTTTAGATTATTAATAATAATCATGTTTTGTTATATGATTATTACAATATACGTGTATACATGTTTTTGTAGATGAGTTTTGGTATATTCCTTTCAATATTTAATTACGTCCATTTCAAAAAAACCTTGAGTATCTGGGCTGAATTCATTCCTCAGATACTATTTATGCAATGTATTTTTGGATATCTTTGTTTCACGATCATTTATAAATGGTCTATACCTTGGTATGAACCTGATGCTAGTGGAAATCCAAGGGTGAGCCCACCAGGATTGTTGAATTTATTAATTTATATGTTTTTACAACCTGGTCACGTTGATAAAGAGAACGAATTATATTCTGGACAGGTAATAATATTTATGTGTGCCTATTTAGGGTTTTTTTACTCTCGAATATTGATTTCCTTTGTATACTTTATCATTAGGGAACTGTACAACTTGCATTGCTTGGAGTAGCTGTAATTTGTATACCTTGGATGTTGTTCACAAAACCTTTAATCTTGCGTCGTGAGTATAAGAAAATACGTGCACAAGGATATCATAATCCGCAAGCTGACGTTACACGTATATCTACAGATGAGAATAATGAGCACGGCGGAGCAGTAGTAGCTGAGGAAATGCATGAGGAAGAAGAATTTGATTTCGGGGAGGTTATGATTCATCAGGTGATACATACAATCGAATTTTGTTTGGGTTGTATATCTAATACAGCAAGTTATTTGCGATTATGGGCTCTGAGTTTAGCTCATGCACGTAAGTATTTTATTATTATTATTTTGTTTTGTTTTATTTATAAGAATAAAGGAATTTTAATTTTATTCAATAACATTTTTTTGTGTATATATAGAATTGTCCACCGTTTTATATGATATGACTTTGAAAAGTACGATACATCCCAAGGGAGTTTTAGGAGTTATATTACTCATAATAACAGCTCTCTTGTGGTTTATTTTGACTGTTGGTATCTTACTGCTTATGGAAGGATTATCTGCTTTCTTACATGCGTTACGTTTGCACTGGTATAAATCATTTTGATTTTTTTTTTGGTTTTTTTTAATAAAAATAAATAATTCATTATCTTTTTTTTTATTTATTTATATAATAGGGTTGAATTCAATAATAAATTTTATGAAGGTTCAGGTAGAAAATTTATACCATTCTCATTTAAACACATTTTTAAAGACTCGGATGATGATTAATTATAATTAATTTATTATCACATAAGAGAGGTTCTATTATTTTATTAACATGAATATTTATTTTTATTATTACCTTTAATTTGTGTATTTCTATTCATTATTTGTATTACATTTCTTCTTTTTTTTTAAATAACTTTTTTTTGTATAACGAGATAAAAAATCACAAATGATGTCTTTCTTCTTATATTTGAAAAAATATTCATTCGTTACAATAAAATTTTTAATTCAAACATTTTTTTAAAATTTCATTTCATTGAAAATAAATTTATTATTACTACTAAATATACTATATACTAATTAATGATCTATACATATATATATTATTTTAAAAATATTTTAACTATTAAAAATTATTAGTGTTTAAGAAAAAGAAGAAAAAAGAATAAATAAATAAAAAAAAAAAAAATTACTATTAAATTTCACCTTATAATTACAAAAAGAAAAAAATTGTTATAATTATATCTTAATATATAAGCTTAAACATTTTAATATTTAGCTTCTCAACGATGAAACTTACGTCTAAAAAAAAAAATCATAGTTAGTTAGAAATCCTCAAAAGTAAGTAATAAACTATAAAAGATTACATACGTATAGATGTTATTTGTAACAAGCTCGACAATTGAATTTACATTTTTTACAAAGTAGTAGTAATTTTAAGCTGATAGACAGAGCGAGATGCTTGCTTAATGCCATATGTATCCCCATATATTTGGGAAAATGATGCGAAAATCGTAACATTGAAGAATGAGTACACATACATAGTAGTAATATAGTACAAATTTCCATCATTTGTGCTTTAATCTACACTTATTCAACATATTGTTGTACTTTTGTAACAAATTAATGTACTAAGAATGTTATTAGATTGATAAATGAGCGTCCCATGTTTGATCAATATTTTACTCTATCTCAAATAAAATCCTATCGAATCGTTATTGTTAACTTTAAACTAAGATTTTTTCTTTTTTTTTTTTCTTATTATAATTTTCTTAATTATATTTTATATTATTATATTTTATATTTGAATAAGAAAATATCCTCAATAAATAAATTAGTGTTAGTTGTTGTCCCGGTGAATAGAAATATTTTTAACTAATTTTTCATTTCAAATAAAAGATTATAGGAAAGTTTTCGGTTTAGCTTATAATTGCTTTCTTATTCTCATTCTTCCTGAGGTCGCCCATTCGGAAATTAACTCATCTTTGGATTGTAGAAGCCAATCAAGCAATTCTTTTGCAGTACTACGCTCTTGCGAAGTCGCGGTTATACACTTTAGTAGCAACTCTCGTGACTTTTTCCCATTGACATTTTTCTCTATGTGAAATTTAATTTTGATAGGATCTGTTACAATTTCTCTAAGATTCTTAAGATCGGTGTCAAGGATCCCTCCCCAAGGTGCCTGACCTGAAAATATTCTCCATGCTAAAACTCCGGTCGCATACACATCTTCGGAACAAGGATCAATTGGGTATTGAAGAACTGCATGATCGTTTTTGGTACGGGGTAGTGTCGCCGCGGACCTTAATATTTTGTCGATTATGAATGAATTTTCGTTTAATAAAATATATATGTTAATTATATATATATACTAACTTACCTGTACAATTTGTAGCCATGATCCGGTACCGTCTTTATCCATGGGAGATGTTCCAACTTATCGTTTGTCACCTCGCCAACGGACCAACTATTGTTTTCAATGACAGATGAAAATTTAAATATATTGTACATATGCGTTTCGTGCGTTTGTTAATAAAAGTTAATAAATAGAACTTTCTCTTACTTACGCTAAAACATCATCGCGATTGATGAACTCAGCTTTACCAAAATCGATTACTACAAGTTCAGGTTTTATGCTCCCGTCTGCCAACTTCTCGGTAGTATTATTTACCATCATGTTAACCTCGGACAGGTCGCGATGCGCGAATCCAGCATCGTGAAGTGCCTTAATGCCTTTCACCATGTCATGGATGAGCCTGTATTTTTGTTCTCCTGTAATTGGAGAACGGGTATTGAAGGCGTATTCTTTTAACGTATAATTATATCTTTCCATAGAAAGGCCAACTAACTCATCATATTCTTCGTCTTTATAAACAGATCGGATTTGTCCAGTGTTAGAGACTCCTTTCGTTTTTCTACAATAAACATACGTTTATATATGATATAACGATCGAATTTTTCAATAATTATAAAAAAAGCTTATTAAGCTTACAAGCAGCATACTGCTTCCTTAATCCTGGTCTCAAGCGTACCCTCCGAAATTTCCTTGAAATTTTGAACGACATATTTATCATCGCCCGGAACGTGGAAAACTCGCTTAAAGAATCCTTCGGCGTCAACTTGAATTGGCTTCCCAAGTGATTCAAAGCTTTCGACTGGTACTTTTACTCTATTCGCCTCTACAGAAAGTGACAAACCATCAGCTTCATTAGTTATATATAAAAAAATTTTTTTTTTAAAAAGATTTGATTTTTTACATACCCGCAACTAGACGTTGCCAAATCGAAAGTCCTTCGGGTGACGAATTGCCCTGTCGTAGATTCAAAGCTGCCAGAAATGCGTCGTGCTGTTGCAATGTAATTTTTTCTTTATCATACTCCGAAACTTTAAAAGGTGTCCGTAAATATTTGTCAAAGAATTTTGGTCCAACTTTGAGATCGAGAGCCACCTTATCAAGAAAGGCAACTCGGGTCCAATATCGTGCATCTTGTAATTCCGGAAAGCCGATCGTGTCGAGCTCACGTAGCTCACCAAATGGTTTTGAAATGATCACATTACATCGCAATCGATTCTCTCCACGCGCATAAGAAACATCCTTCACAATTACGAGAATTGCATTGCGTTCATCTCTACACTTTTTAATATTTTGTGCACCCATTGTGATGTAGAGACGTGCAAAGTTGCAATGCGTTTCTGTTGGTTGAAATCTAACCGGAGGGAGTGTTCTACGTTCGAATGTGTCAAAAAGAGGACGTGACATCGGATCTAAACGTTCAGCGGCAGCTTGGGGAAGTTTTGCAACATTACTACCACTCCTTGAAACTTGGCGGAACGAATACAAAGGTACTATATATATTTTACTAATTTACACGCGAAAAAAAAAAAANCCTTGAAACTTGGCGGAACGAATACAAAGGTACTATATATATTTTACTAATTTACACGCGAAAAAAAAAAAAATATATTAAACAAAAGAAAACGTTAAAAAAGAAAAAGTTTTATGAAAATAAAAAAAACATGAATAATACCTCTCAATATTTGGTGCTACACTACAAACATCACCAAATTCTTCATGAGGGAGTTTAGCACCAACCTGAGCAAGTGCGAATTCCAATTTATTTAGATCATGTGGTGGTTTTGAAAATTTCGTTGTTAAATCGACAAAACACGCCAACATCAAATTTGCTTCGTTGAATATTATGGAACCTTCCGGATGGAATTTGAATGCATTATAAATAATCTGGGCTAAATCATCATAAAATTTTGAAACTGCACCATCGTATTCTCCTGCCCAAAGATTATGTTCAACTGTTGTCAAATCCATCAGACGTGAAATGATTTGGCGGTAAATGACGGCAGATTCGTCTTCAGGATTAACAAAAGGGCGACACCATGCTTGAGAAACAAAATAATCAAGTATATACGTCCCAAGACGAAGTAATCGATCACGACTTATTAATTGTTCGTTTAAACAAAGTGTTTCAAGATATTTTCGCAGCGCTATCGTCTGTTTTGGCTCTGGTTCGGGTAGTACATCAGGAACCGGAGCAACCAAAGACTGAGGTACATCTGACATCGATTCAAGTTGTTCATCTTGATCACTAATGCGCGAGTCTTCGGTTCGACTTGTCCCAGGTGCCACATTAGGTCGACCGCGCTTGCCTCGGGACTTTCGAGACGAATTTTTACGATTATTTCGTGCTCGTTTCTTACCGCGAGAATTTCGAGATTTAGCACGGGCTGGTGCTCTAGTACTTGAGGGTGGTTCCGTAATAGAAGGTGGTTCCGTAATTGAAGGTGGTTCCGTAATTGAAGGTGGTTCCGTAATTGAAGGTGGTTCCGTAATTGAAGGTGGTTCCGTAATTGAAGGTGGTTCCGTACTTGAAGGTGGTTCCGTAATTGAAGGTGGTTCCGTACTTGAAGGTGGTTCCGTATTTGAAAGTGGTTCCGTCATCGCATTTACATTATCTGAATTAAGGTCCTCCATTGGTACAACCTCCTCGTTTCCGTCAACATTCATCGCAAGACTCTCATCATCGTTTTCAGAAACAATCTTACGACGTTTGTTTACATTGCTCGCATCTTCAACAGGATGCTCCTTTACATCTTCTGTATTAGCAATGGCAGTTTGAGGTTGATCTTGATCACGAACGTCACTTCGCCCCTTTCTTCGGCGTACACGACGTCCTTGTCCTTTCCCGTTTCTGCGTTTACGACTACGTCCACTTACGCCCGGGATTACGCTGTCCGGGATTACGGCAGCTCCTTCTGGTTGTTCCGTTGAATCGATTTCGTTACCGTTATTGTTGCTCATTTTATCATTATCCGCTTTATTGTTATTTTCGGTGGCAGTAATATTACTGACTTGACTGATATTGCTGGTGATAATACTATTACTGACTTTGCTATTATCGCCGTTAATGACTTGACTACTATTGCTGGTGGCAATAATATTACTGGCTTTGCTATTATTACTGCTACCGACTTGATTACTGTCGTTGACGACAATACTCTTATTGACTTGACTATTGCTGACCTGACTGCTGGTATTGACTATACTGCTGACAATACTTTTATTGGATTGGTTATTATTAAATTGATTGCTATTATTAAATTGATTGCTATTATTAAATTGATTGCTATTATTAAATTGATTGCTATTATTAAATTGACTGCTATTAAATTGATTGCTATTATTAAATTGATTGCTATTATGAGTAACGAACCTATTACTAACTTGATTGCCATTGTGAGTGACAAAACTATTACTAGCTTGATTGCTATTGTGAACAAAACTATTGCAGACTTGACTGTTATTGTGGGTAACAAAACCATTACCGACTTGTCCGCTATTGTGGGTAACAAAACTCTTACTGGCTTGATTGTTATTGTGAGAAACAAAACTACTGAACTGACTGTTGGTGATAATATTGTTACGCATGTTGTTGGTGATGTTGCGACCGATATTGTTGGCGATGACATTGGTGATGACGCTGCTACGACCGCCATTGTTGGCAATGACATTGTTACGACCGCTATTGTTGGTAGTCACACTATTACGGCCCATATTGTTAATAACACTGTTACGGCCCATATTGTTGATGACATTATTATGGCCAATATTACTGGTGATAGCACTGTTACGGCCGATATTACTGGTCATGGCACTGTTACGGCCGATATTGTTGATGACACTATTATGGCCAATATTACCGGTGATAGCACTGCTACGGCCGATATTACTGGTCATGGCACTGTTACGGCCGATACTGCTGGGAATGGCGCCGTTTCGACCGTTACTGTTGGTGATTATACCGTTACGACTGTTATTGTTGGTAGTCACTACATTGTTACGACCGATACTGTTGGTATGAACACTGTTACGACCGATGTTGTTATTGATGATACTGTTACGACTGATATTACTAGTGATGGCATTGTTTCTGTTGTTGATTATATTGTTAGGACCATTATTGTTTGTAAGAATATTATTATTAATCTGACTGCTATTTTGGGCGAGATAACCGCCGAATTGACGGTTATTGCTGGGAATAATACTATTACTGAATTGACTATTATTATTGGTAAGATTGTTACTAGATTGATTGTTATTATAGGGCCATTTGTGAAGCGGTAGTTCTCTTTGTTCAAGTGGCTGAACCAAAGAATCAATCTGTTCAACCCCTATGGTAGCGCCACGCTTAGTATTTATGTCCGAATTTCTTCTAGATGAATTTTCCAAACTAGCAACCATCAACACCTTTGGTTCGCTCACTTGTTTAATTGATGGTTTCTCATTATCATCATAATCATTTGTGTTGTCGCCAAATTCATTCGAAGTCATATTTTGCCACTCGTTTTCGACCTTAAATTATTAAGGTTTAAATGTTTATATTAAAAAATAAATACATTAATTAATCGAAAAAAAGCGATAGGAGAATTATATAATACAGAAAAATTTTTTTTTTCAAAAACTTTTATTCATACTTTATCATTTATAAAAAAAAAAAAATATGATACTAACCGTATTTGAGAGAAGTTGTTGGGCTTGTGCCCATTCGAACTGTGAACCAATGAGTTCGTAGGGCAGCCTTGGTCGACGATATGGATTCGTTCGACGACCTTGGTGCTTCTCCTTTTGTGTCTGTTGTAAAGGTGGCATCACCAGATCAACAACAGGAGAAGGTGAAGAAAAATAAAAACAGCTTACACTTTCTTATTTTAAAGCAGACCAAAAAAAATTTTTTTTAAAAAAAAAAGTTCTTAAAGCAAGAAAATACAAAAAAAAAAAAATATTTTGCTAAAAGATACAAATATTTTTGATCAGTAAAAGGTAAAAGTTTTCCTTTAAATAATAAAGTAAAAAGCTTTTCTAAAACGATGATGTTCTTCGTAAATATTTGTCAAGCTAGTATAGTCAAAAAAATAAGCTTTTTGAAGAACAAATTGATATCAGGATATCTCAAAAAAATTTATATTGCTCATCTTAAAAAAAAATTCTTTTTTTTTTTTTTTAAAATAACCAAAAATGGATGCTGTATGTTTCGATCAAAATGTTACGCAATTATTCCTTCATTTCCCCATTTCTTCAATCATATGGCTCAATAAGAATCGGTTCCGAGAAATTATCGTCAGATAAATGATTGGCCAGGCTTGTTTTGCTCTCGAGTGACTCATCGAGTTTTTTATATCAATTATATCAATTATACCACAGCCGAAACGGTTTAAAATATATAAAATTCGTAATAACTGTAATAATCGCGCTAAATTGATCATGATTTGTCTAAAAGTATGATTTAGTAATCGTATATTCTGTATAATTCTCATAACTCTCATGTTAGTTATGTATATTTAGTCAATAGAAAATACAATATGTATGTATAAAAAAAAAAATTTTTTTTTTTTTTTCTCTCTGTTTCTATTACGTAAGACAACATAACGTCACGTGATTAACCGTTGATCCCCCCTATTACGTCATCGAATATCTCATTTTTATTGGCAAAACTTAAATTTACGAAATAACAGAAAATCACCAGAATTCACATACCATTAGTCATCAAAATATACTTTTGCTATATTTTTATTTAACTTAAAGTAAGCGTAACGTATTATTACAAAACTAACATGATGTGACGAAATGATCGACAAGTGATCGTCGAATGATTATCATAAAAAAAAAATTATCAAGATTGATTAAAAAAATAATGTATATATTTTAATATACATCTATGATTTGAAACTATAACTCCTCATATTTATGCAGATGTTCCAGGTGATGATGCATCTTCTGGCGAAGCATTATTACTTTGTGAAGGGCTTTCGTTCTTCTCCTGAGCTTTTTTATAGACAACTTCAAACAATTTTAGACTATTCTGTATTAACTTATGAGTTTCCTTTTTGATTTCTTCAGGATCAGCTTCCTCGCCTTTCTTAATAAACTCTTGTAAATTACCAATTTGTTCCTTAATATTTTTACTTTCCTCTTGATCAATTTGATCTTTATGTTCCATCATGTTCTTTTCAGTTTCATTTATTGCCGATTCGGCTGAATTTATTGCTTCGATTAAATTCTTTCGTTTTGAATCAGATTCTGCATATTTTTCTGCATCTTCAATCATCTTTTCTATTTCTTTAGAAGAAAGACCCGATGATGCAGTAATAGTTATAGACTGATCCCGATTTGTTCCTTTATCCTTTGCTGATACATTAACAATACCATCAGCATCAATATCGAATGTTACTTCAATTTGCGGGGCTCCTTTGGGTGCTGGTGGAATACCATCTAGTACAAAATTACCCAATAATTTATTGTCCTTAACGAGTTGTCTTTCACCTTGGTATACTTTCACATCCACTATTAAAACGAGAAAAAAAATGAGAAATTTTAAAAAATTTCAAAAAGCAACAATTAATGGCGATTCTTTATACCTTTAGTTTGACCATCAGCAGCAGTGGAATAAACTTGTGATTTCTTTGTTGGAATGGTTGAATTCCTCTCAATCAACTTCGTGAAAACACCTCCAAGTGTCTCGATACCAAGTGAAAGAGGTGTAACATCCAATAATAAAATATCAGTCACACTTCCGGCTAAAACAGCACCTTGAACAGCAGCACCAATAGCAACTGCTTCATCTGGATTAACGCTTTTAGTTGGTTCTCTACCAAATATACTTTTAACAGAGTCGATAACTTTAGGCATACGAGACATTCCTCCGACCAAGATAACTTCTTTAATATCATTTTTGTTTATACCAGCATCTTTAAGAGCCTTCTCACAAGGTTCAACTGTACGATCCACCAAATCTTTTGTCAAAGATTCAAATTTAGATCTAGTTAACTTTATATTGATATGTTTTGGACCCGTACTATCAGCTGTTATAAAAGGTAGATTAAGATCAGTTTGTACAGTGGAAGAAAGTTCTATTTTAGCTTTTTCGGCAGCCTCACGAATACGTTGTATAGCCATCTTATCACTTGTCAAATCAATTCCTTGTTCTTTTTTAAAATCTTGAACAATGAATTTCACTATCTTTGAATCAAAATCTTCACCACCAAGTGCAGTGTCGCCATTTGTACTCTTAACTTCAAATACACCATTTTGTATTTCTAATATAGAAACATCAAAAGTGCCACCTCCTAAATCATAAACAGCTATTACTCTGTTCCCAGATTTATCTAATCCATAAGCTAATGCTGCAGCCGTTGGTTCATTAATTACACGTAAAACTTCTAATCCACTAATTTTCCCTGCATCTTTTGTTGCTTGACGTTGTGCATCATTAAAATAGGCCGGCACTGTAATAACGGCTTTATGTACTTTTTTACCTAAATATCCTTCAGCTGTTTCTTTCATTTTGTTAAGCACAAAAGCACCAATTTGAGGTGGAGAGTATTTCTTTCCGTGCGCTTCTACCCATGCATCGCCATTAGTATGTTTTATTATTTTAAAAGGTACTGCTTTCGCTTCTTCTTGTACTGCTGGGTCATCAAATACACGACCGATCAATCGTTTTGCGGCAAATATCGTATTCTCGGGATTTATCACAGCCTAGAAATATCACAATTGAGTCAGTCCACAACTTGCTGCACAATTTTTAAAAGATCATGTCCGGTATATTTACCTGGCGCTTAGCAGCTTGACCAACTAATAATTCACCATCTTTGGCAAATCCAATCACAGATGGAGTAGTACGGGAGCCTTCAGAGTTTTCGATGATTTTCGGATTTTTACCTTCCATCACACCAACACAACTGTTCGTCGTACCCAAATCTATGCCAATAACTGGGCCTCCTACTTGAGAACTATACGTTCTATTTAATGAAATAAGTTCTGTGGTGTGAGAACTCAAAGTTGGGCGTAAGCCTAATGCTGGACTCTGGATGCGATAATCATGATGATAAGAATCATATTAGTTATTATCAAGGTAAGAAAAGTATTTTGAAAGAATATATTTATTTGTAAAATTTTCATTTAAATAATATAGGCTCGATTCGATAGCTTCATAATATGATAAAAAAACAATTGATAGAAATTAAAAAGAAATACCGAATGTAGTTATTATTGATACACACTGTAGAACGCCATACTTTTGTAGCAATACGCGAAGAACGAGCACACTTTGCAGATAAACTAAGCATAATACCTAAAGTTATTGTTTTGCTTTTAAGAGAAAAAAGTAGTAAAGTCAAACTATAGAACAAAAAAAAAAAAAAAAATTGGAAGAAAATGTCGAAGATATTACAGGAGAAGTCGAACCAGACGATGATATTAATCAAGATATTGACTATGTTTCACTTTTTGCTAAAGAAAAGTAACTAATTAAGCTTTATAGCACAGCAAACCCATTTTCAATAAAAAAAAGTTTTGCTTAACTGGAATTATTCCTTTGGAAATAGAAAAAGAGGTGGAGGTATACCAAAGCGCGGTAGCAAAGATTTCGAACCGGATGGATCAGAGAATCAACATGACGCGCTTACGAGCTCGTTAAACGCTTTGGAAAAAGCACTAAGCGAAGAACGAAATGTATCCAGGTAAATCTTTTTAATAACGCACGTGACTAAATCCTTTAACTGCGCCATTAATATCTACCCTTTTGTACTTAGTCGACAATTATGTAAAGCAATATGGCATGGGGCTCCAATATCGAAGGCAATGATTACTGTTAATAAAGGATCTCACTTTCATAATATGGGACACGCGATAAAAGGAGAAATGTGGTTATATCCTGAAGAATGTTTGTTTATGATGGATAGATGTTCGTTGAGTATGCAATATTGTGATGTGGATATGTCTTTACAGCAAGCATATTGTGAGATAATAGGTGGATGGTTAACGTTAGAGAAGTATCAAGTAAGATGGAGAGATAAATATTTTGAATATTTCATTAATTATTGATGGTGAGATATTATTATTAATATTATAGGTTTATGCGCATTTGAAAAGGATTGGATTTACCGTATTGAGAGCACAGCAGTCATATTCAAATATTACTTATACTTCCTCACAATCGCAATCGTCAGCGCAATCTCCATCACACACAGATTTCTTATCTCATCAACTACAACCACAACCATTACAACTTCCATGGTTTTTAAATAGAATAAATTCATTCATCATTTCTCCATTCATATATATAACGAATTTATTTAAGTCATCTTCGATGCTACCTTCTAACAAGTCTACTCATAATAAAGAAAGTAAATCGTTAGTTGAATCTGGTGAATGTATAACGTATGGTAAGTTATTAAAATTCTAAAACTTCTTTTTTTTAGTTTAACGCATTTCTCTACTTTATTGAATAATAGAACAAGTATACAAGAAGTTACAAATAGTTGAATCATCTTCAATAACACATTATCATAATATTTCCACTGAAAATGAAGATTATAATATCGACTTTTTGGTATATAAAGAATCTGCACCTGGTAAATTTAAAAAAAAGAATCCCGGATCACCTTTATTTCATGTTGTAGTAGCCAGGTATTATAATATATTTTACATGATTCATCCAATTTTACTCAATTTATATGAAGTTATATCTTTTTTTTTGTAGTGCTGAAACACAAAAACCTCCATCAATATCGACGCTCTATAATTTATTCACCTCTTCTTCCTCTCCTTCTCAAACTACATCTTCACCTATAAAAAGTATTTTATTTGCAATTGTAGATGGATCAAATATTTCGTTTTTAGAATATAATGATGTAATGTTTGAAAACATTCATGTAAATTTAATTAGTGATAATGTTTAGCCAAGCAGAAATGCAAATATTCCAATGATAAGTGATATTACAAGTTTGTTTCAAGTGCTACTACTGAAATTAAATATAATTTGTATCTAACATAATCTTCTATGCCAGTTTGGTAATAGGTTTAAGGTATTTGTATGTAATATTAATAACTTCAAATAACAAAGTTAGAACTCCTTTTGGTAAAAATAAAACTATAGCTAAGAAAGAGTAGATAATAATAAGATTTTTGAATAATCTTTCTGTAATTCTATTAATCCTAGCACTGCCTGGTTTTTTACAATTTATCCCTCAAACATCTAATATATAGGTTGATGCCAAAATCACCCTTTTTTACTAAAACACAAAAAATTGTTTTTTGCAAATATTTTGGCATCCAGTAATCTGATTTTAATGAACTTTTTTTATTATTGTAAAGTTCAATAAAAGCTACAAAAAAAAAAAGTTTATTGAAATTGGACTATTAAATACCACATAATTCTAATTTTAATATTTTAAAAAATGGTTAATTTGCTAAAAGTATAATTTAATAAGTAAACCTAAGATCTTACCTACTACATTATAATTTAATATAAAATCATAATATTACTTTTAATTGATTTTAAAAGTTTAACAACTATATTATTAATTGGCTTATTAAACTGTTAACATAATTTATTATTATTTAATATTGAAGTATTATTATAACTAATAATTCCATTAGCTAATGGATTTTTCCATATTAAACTATTAAAATCAATATTAACTATATTTTGAAGAAGACTTATTGAAAAAAAACTTAAATCTTAAAAATAATTAAATTTATATATTAATAAATATTAAATTATAAATATTATAAATATTATAAATAATTTTATATTTTTACCTATTAAAAATTGAGATTTAATATATTTTATATTTTCATTTATCATATTTTTATTATAAAATATATTATCATTCTTTTAAATAAAATTAATATATTTAATATTTTATAAAAATAAATAATAAATATAATATAATAATATATCATTTTTAATGTCTTAATATTACGTAAACTATATTGATGTTAAACAAAATCCTGACATTCATTTCCCGACAGGATACTTGCTTAATACCATTTGCCTACATTAGTTTTAATGCTGATCAAAATTGTCAGGAAAATATTCTGTCCGAAAATTGTCTGTTAAGAAAACATAGTGTAACTAAACTAAAGTTGCTTGTCTAAACCTCTTCAAAATTCTACGATTAGTTTCTCTAAAATTTTACTATAATTTTATTATAGTTTCAGCAAGGTTTCAGCAGTTTCATCAGCATTTATAATAAATTTTGTTAGATTTTGCTTTTTTCCAGAGTTTTGCCAACTTTTTTATAAGACTTTCATATAGTTTTAGCAAAGTTTTGCCATTTCAGCATTTCTCCAACTTGCCAAAACCTCCTAGTTTCTTCAGTAATTTTAAACTAAACTATATATGCTTTCAAGAACAATATTAAACTGGCGTAAAAAAATAAATTTTATTAGTTTTAGCTAATAATATATTACTTTTTTTTATAATTATACATGTATGCCATCAAAATGTAAAAATTATTATTTACAAATGGCCATTTTATAAATAATAATTTTACACTAATATTTTTAACTTTATAAAATATTCTTTACTGTTTTTCACAGGCTCCAATATTTTATTAAAAAATTGTATTACTATCATTTAGCAATTAATACTAGGAAACGGGAATCATTGTAAGTCCAAAGTGAAGTATCATAATAAATAAAGATGTTAACATATATCAAGAATGGTAGCGATTTCTACTAATTAGCAGCATAATGCCTTAGAATTCCTAAACAGAGAAACTCACGTAATCGCAATTTTCTACTGGTTAGCAGCATAATGCCTTAGAATTCTGGACACATGATTAATCATTTTTCATAGTGCGTAGACATATATAGTCCTTTGCATTCACTCCAGACAATAAAAAATATTTTAAATATTAAAACAATTTACCTAATTAAGAATATCAAAAAGTTTCTTAAAAAGATCAGAATTATCATTAATATTATTTTTTATATTTAAATTATTTTATTAATAATTCAATTTTTTGTATTGTTAGATTATCTTTTATAATTTTATATATTATTGATGTAGCAGGACCCTGCTTACTTATAAGATAGGTCATCCCTAGGCCTAAGGTAAAAATCATATATAAATTCTTTGTAGATTCTACTATAAAAGGAAATTTTATGTTACATTATTATGATTTTTTTCCTTTTTAGCTAATTAACCAATAGAATTTAAGAAAAAAGTAAGGTAAAAACTATTAGTAAAGAGCCAATTTTCTATAATAACCTTTATTATAAGTAAGCGGGATCTTGATGTAGCAGTAATATATTTTCTTTATAAAATTAATAATTTTATTAATAACAACCATTTTTTTAAAAAAATAATAAAATATAGTTTAAAAAATATAAAAAGAAAATATATTTACTTATCTTAATATTATTAAATTACCTTCTATAATTATTGAATTAAATTTTATATTATATAAATAAATAAATTTTTATTTGCAATATATTACTATATAATTTTTACTTATTTTTGTTGTGCCTCAGATCGATTCTTGCCTCAGATCGCAACTCACGCACCTCAGATTGAAATCGTCATGTGAGGTGCGTGATGTGGATCATTGATAATCTGAGGTGCCTCGGTTTTAATCTGAGGCAAATAAAAAATTTTTTTTTAAAAAAAATATCGATCGTTTTCTACTATTTTTTACTATTTTATTAATCTGAAATAGTGTTAGTTTAACTCATTAGTAACTACACTAAAAATTACTTTAATTATTATAAAGTTTTTAATAAGAACGGTTCTTTACGGCTAATTGGCTCTTTGAGGTAAGTTCGGAAGCTTTTATTTTATTTTTTTTTTTGTTTTTTTCTTTTTCGGAACGGTACTAACCAT